GCGGCGCCCAGAATTGCACGCAGTACTCCAACTGCGGTCTGACCAGCGCCCGATAGAGGGGAAGTATCACCTCCTTGGACCTATTTGTCATGCATCTGTTGATGCACGATAAAGTGCCATTGGCTTTTTTGATGGCTTCGTCACACTGCCGACTCATGTTCATCTTGGAGTCCACTAGGACTCCAAGATCCCTTTCCACTTCCGTGCCACCCAGCAGGTCATTTCCTAGGCTGTAGGTGTGCTGGACATTTTTCCTCCCTAGGTGCAGCACTTTGCATTTCTCCTTGTTGAACTGCATTCTGTTGTTTTCTGCCCACTTGTCCAACCTGTCCAGATCTGCTTGCAGCTGTTCCCTGCCCTCCGGCTTGTCCACATCTCCCCATAGCTTTGTGTCATCTGCAAACTTGGACAGAGTACATTTCACTCCCTCGTCCAAGTCACTGATGAAGACATTAAAGAGTATCGGTCCAAGGACCGAGCCCTGCGGGACCCCACTGCCCACACCCTTCCAGGTCGAAACCGACCCATCTACCACGACTCTCTGGGTGCGACCCTCCAGCCAATTCGCCACCCACCGGACTGTGTATTCATCCAAGTCACAGCCTCTTAACTTGTTCACCAGTATGGGGTGGGATACCGTATTGAAGGCCTTCCTGAAGTCTAAGTATACGACATCTACCCCTCCTCCTGTGTCCAGGTGTTTCGTAACCTGGTCATAAAAAGAGACTAGCTTGGTCAGGCACGATCTGCCTGCCACGAACCCGTGCTGGTTTCCCCTCAGCGTAATTTGTCCTGCCGGGCTCTCACAAATGTGAGCCTTGATAATTTTTTCAAAGACTTTGCCAAGTCTTTGATGAGCTGCCAATGGGTGGAGCGGTCCCTGAGCTGCGGGGAGAGGCTAGTGCTTCTTTCTGCAGCAGCGGTGGTGTCTCCCAGGCTGTACCCATCCACAGGCACCTGGCCCGGGTGCTCCTGGGAAGCACCAGCCAGCCCCCCCCACCCCCCGCTTCCCCCGCAGCCATGGAGGGAAGCACCAGGGCCCCACACAGCTCAGGCAGGCAGGTAGGCTCTGGAGAGAGAAAAAAAAAGGATCAGGCTCACAGCTTTTTTTTTCTCCCCCTTCAGTGGGTCCTGCCTGGACGGGCTGCCTGCACAGCCCCTGAGCTGCACAGGGCCTGGTGCTTCCCTCTGCAGCTGTAAGGTGGCAAACTAAAGCACGTTGGACATGTTTTATTTTGCTGTGTCCCAAAGTCATTTAATGCACAAGACGCTGCTGACAGCGTAAACAGCTGTATCATTAAAGCGGTGCAAAAGGGCATTTAAGCCACTTTAAAGGTTAATTTTCTGGTGTGTACAAAGGCCTCTGGAGCCCAAATATGGCATACCACAGAAGTCATCTGCTCAGTATGGCTTTGGGAAACGGTTAAAGGGATACTTCCCATAATGGCATTAGGGTATTGAAGAAGAAGTTTTCTTGTGGTGGAGACTGGCTGCTAAAATCCTTTTTGGAATAGTTATTTAATGCTGCTTGCATGTTGTTGTGTGCCAAGGTGCCTTGAGCTTTGCAAAGGAGTCTCAATTATTTAAATGAAAATAGAATTATCCATCCCATGTACTCATTGTAGGAAGTAGAGAGGACAGAGGGGAGAGAACACATTCTGCTTGACATGGGGGCAGCTGATGGGAAAGGGAAATCCACATCCTGGGAGAAAATAAATTAACTTATCTGATCCACCCAATTGCAATACATTCCATCCAAAAGCATGATCATTAAGACTTTTTTGTTAATAGTGCTCTCCTTGTAGCTTTGAAGCAGAACACCTGCTGCATTAAAGTAACTGTTTCACCTGCAGCACTGGGATCCATCAGGGTAGCCATGATATCCTTTACTAGCAGTTTCAGTTCATGAGCCCTTGGAGGTTTAGGAGGACTGGTGCCCTGAGGGAGAGTTCCTACGTTCTGTACATTCTGTGAAAATGAAGCAAGACAAGAGATGATGTAAAATGCTACTGGATGTGTCACATGCTCACAACCACCATGTTAAATTATTAAAAAAGCAAACAAAAATCCTGGAGTGTAGCATTAGCTATTCATATGAGTTGTGTATTCCAAAATCTTCTGTGCCAATGGTTATGCAATTTTATACGTTTCCCATATTAGACTTATTCACTGAGTCATGAATGCCTTTTTTCTTGAGATCAAAATATTAACAAAAAAAGGAGCTGGAAAAATGCCTGTACTCACCTGTACCTCCTTTATGTCTGTAGGCTTTGTACTCAAAACTACTGATGGAGAAACTGAAATAAATAGATTCTCCAAAATATCTCTGAGAACAGATATTGCACATGTCCCAGGCATCTGACCCTAGTAAGGAAGAAAAAAATTTTTGCTTCTAATTAATCAGGAGAAGCAATATTAAATACAGAAATTCATTTGATAGCTGAGCATGCAGTCTACTCTAATATCAGAGTATGCTTTGTCATAAGAAGGTCTACTGCCAACAACCAAACATGGTGAGCAATTATTTAGTCACTTGATAAATAAAAAACAACGCATGAGAGAGAGAGACCAAAAATATGCGGTATAAAAGTCAAATGCAGTACTGACATACAGAAAGGGTAGAGTCCTTACCAACATCAAAATGGAATCTCAATGATTTCACACTCTATAACACTGGACTATCTCACTGGTACATATTAAACAGACAGAAGAAAAAAGACGAAGCATATTATCAGATAGTGTCAATCAGCACAGCTCCACAGACTTAAATGAAATGGTGCTGATTTACAATAGCTGGGAAGCAGTGCCTCGCAGTCAACACAGACCAATCAGTAGGGTGAAACTTAAGACTCTCTCAATCTTAACCGTGTAATCACATCTTGAGTTTTTACCTGGCGACATGTTAATGCAATTAATGGTGAGATAAAACAAAGAACAATCCACAAAGTTACTACACAAAAAGTGTGGCCAGGCTGGAGCTCACAGCCCTGAAGTATACCCCCACGGCTGGGAGCCCTGAGAGCTGATCTGGGCTCCCAGCCTGGGGACACACCATGTGCTCCTCTGGCTGGGAGTCCCAAGCTGGGCTGGATAAACTAAGCCCAGATCAGCTGACAGAGGTTCCAGCCCTGGAAGCTTACTACTTGCTGGTGCATGGAGAGCCTGGGATTGTGATCCCAGACTCCCTCTTCACTAGCAATAAGCTGTATTGGGATCTGATGCTGGATCCCACAATCATGTCTCCTGCCATGCACATGTGGCATAGCAGGAAGCATGACTGTGAGGATCTCACCTCACATCCTATCAGGCCTTCAGCTGCACATCTGACAGGCCTTATAAATATAGGCTGCTCAAGTCAGGAAACTGAGGCTATTATTCTTATTCATTTTGCTTATCCACAAAATTCTTTCTAAATGCATTTTACAGCAACATCCATTTATCCTTGATCCTTAATGTTACAGGCATCAAAGTTCATTGCCAAATGTTGTTTATGGAGGTAGCTTTACCAGATTGGTGCATTTTTATATAAAAATAAACTGCAGCAAGTTGTTTTCTGTTGGTCTGGTATAAAGTTTACTGCTGGAGCTGATCAGTGACAACATGCTATTCAAAATTTATTTTTCTTTGATATTTGCAATTGGACAGGGCTTTTAAAATTAAATTATTGCATAGAAGCAAAAATTGGAGGGAAAGTGTTCCAGGCAGAATTTAGGTAAGGCTCAACTTCCATTCCTTCGAGATGGATAGCAAAATATACGGACAGGCTGGTGCAGTGCTTCCACAACAGAGAACTCTTCTATGTATTTCTAATAAGCCCCCAATATCCTAAATATCGTATCCCAAGAAACAGATACTGGGCTATATGGAGCTGTGAACTGCCAGTATAGCATTTCTTATGTTCTAAAAGAAGAGCATGCTGTTACTGTCCAAAACTTCTAAAGAAAGGGAGCCATCTTACAGGATCTTATACAACAGAGCTGTCCAACTGGTGGCCCACGGACCACATGCAGCCCCCAAAGGGTTAGCATGTGGCCTCCAGGCTCCTGGCCAGCCACCACCCCTTTCCTCCCCCTACCTCACTATTGCTCCTGCTGTGGAAACTGGGTTCTACAGGCTTACCCTCCCTCCTCCAGTTTTTACATCCTGCTCCAGCTCCTGGGGACAAGGTAGCAGAGCAGGAGAGGGCAGAGTGCCAAAGCTGCATGCAAGTGGGAGAGGACCAGGGGCTGCTGGGACTGCACATACAGCAGTCAGGTAGCTCATAGTTCATACAATAAAGGAAGAGATTAGGGCTTCTTGTACTGCAGGTGGGTGGCATGTGTGGTCAGGAGAGAAAGGGGAAGGAGGGTTTGCTCAGGCAGCAAGGGGGAGCCAGGCTTCCTGTACTATGCTTGTTTGCGGGGGGAAGAGTGCATGCTAGGCTGCCTTCACAATTAGGGACAAGCGGGGGGAGGCTGTCCACATCTTAAGTGACCCCCAGGTCTATGGACTGCATCTTGTGCAGCCCCCAGATGACAGCCTGCATGGCGTGTGGGCCACAGGTGACCAGAAGTTGGACAGCCCTCTTATACATTATAAACATATACATAAATATATATATGCGTTCAGTACACCCAATTATTAGTCACTGGAAGCCATACTCTAAACCATTGGGGGCCAAACTTTTTGGCAAGCATGACATAAGCTAGTCCTGAAACCTCTCCACGTATCACTCCAATCCCTTCCTTCTGCCCAAACTGCTGCTCTGCTTTCTGCTTCCTGCCTCGTACTCCCTGCCTGACTTCTCACTCTGCCCTATATACTGCTGTGCTGCCTGTCTCTTCCTTGATCCACTACGTGCTACACACAGAGGTCGCCCATGCCACTTGTGGCACAGGTTGTCCTTCCTGCCCTAAAACATTTATTTCTACCAGAGCACAGCATATGCCATGTACTCAATTCAGATGATCCACATGATTTAGGTGGTTAAACAGACCCTGTTGTAAAACCCAAGCTATTTTAACAGGTTATTGGAAGAATCAGTCCCCATACTTTGGGCATCCAAATGGCATCCAAACGAACACCCAACTTTGGGAGACCCTGAGCTCCTGCTGCAACACAGTGACCACATGCTGTTAACTCTAAGAACTTGGAAAAGGAATGCCCTATGCATCACAAACCTGAGCTCTTCCCTGTTCTAGAAAGTGAGGCAAATAAATCATCATTACAGGTCTACCTGAATTCAAAGTCACAGTGCTTTCCTAACCTTTGAACTCTGACGGTTTATTAGGTAAGCCTGAAAAATTCCAACTGGAAATGTCCATAAATCCTATTTTGCTACCCATTGTACAGGGCTGTCCTTTGAATACATGCAGGCATTGTTGACAGAATTAACTAACTGTATGTCATACATACAGACGTGCCTCCTATAACAAGTTTAGGCATCAGGAAAATGAGAAAAAAATAAGGTGGGCAAGTTGCATGACACTGTGCTCCAAAATATCCAAAGGACTATTACAACTCAATTTCCATATTGTCCATTTGGGCATTGTCACCATCCTTTGCACAACAAGGAGGTGTATAGTTAAGTCTTGGTTACAGCCTGTTGAAAACTTCCACTGGGTTTTCAGTTTTGTTTTTTAACAAGACTTTTCTGGGAAAGGGGGTATAAAAAGCAATTTGCTTTGAAGAAAAATAAATATTTTTGAAATCTGGAGAATTCCAGGAAACACTAATTTTGGTAACAAGTAAGTTTGCCAACTATCATTAGCTTATTTTTCAGATATTTTTCTCATGCCTGGTTGAAGCAGTTTGCTTAAAGCTTAAACAAAAACCTCACCACATAAGAAATGCCAGCCCAGTAGAGTACTCCATCTTTTTATTCGTCTAGGAAATATGACACATCATAACCAGAAGGAGATATAACTACATCCTCCTTACCACCAAACAACTTCAAAGTAAACAGACTATTCCCACTTTTCTCTCAGCATAATCTGCATAAAATGAACTGTTTCAAACAGGAGATTTTACCACACCTTCAACTCTCCTATGAAATATGAACTTTCATTTCTACCTAGGAAAACTTTTACAATTTTTTCTTCTACGCCTGAAAAAGGGAGCTTGTGCCTGAAAGTTTGCAAATAACGATTTTTTTTTGTTGTTGCAAAAATCTAGTTGGTCTAATAAAACATATCACCTCCACCTTAAGTTCTGATTCCTTAAACAAAAACCTGCACACACATTAACATTTAGAGCTGAATTTTGAATGTGAAACACATACTAATCATGAGGAAAAAAAGTAAAAAAAAATTAAAAATCTATAAACAGAGGTGTCTCAAAGATTATATTCCACTTGCTTGCTGACTTCTTCCACTTATTGTTACCAAGTTATGAATACAAGCAATAGAGAAATAGGAAAGACCTGGTCATCAGCCAGAATTAAAACCTTGCCTACCTACCCTCCTGATCCAATAAAAGAATATTGGAAAGCACCTAAGAATTTTACAAGGAAGTCTATTTTAGCAGCTTTTCAAGACAAGCTGCTACTCAACAGCCAATCGAGAACAGCTCCCAGGGTAGATTCCACTTCAGATTAATTAGGGTATTTCCAAAGTGAAGCAACTATTCAAGAATGAAGTGATTTATTCTAAAATACCAACCAGGCTGGGAATTCTTCTGGAATATCCTAACAATGAATTATTCTGCAACAACAGCTCCTCTACCCCATTTTCTTGTGGAAAATTCTCCCTATGTAGACAAGTTCTCTTTCTTGCCTTCTGCATTTTTCAGACTTCCCTCCTATTCTTGCCTGTGATAAAATACTCTCTCTTTGATAACTCAAGGGTTTTTCTCTGCTCAAGTCTCCTCCTCACTACAGCTCTAAATCCAAAACAAGTTAACATGCAACCTCCACCCCAAATCTCTCTCCCTCTGCCCACACACATGTGCATACACCACATATTAGCCCCTATCTCTCTTTAAATATAAGCTTTCATTCAATCCTCCAAACACATGAAACATTAAAACCATAGCCAAGTTACTTCCAAAAATCCATAGATTTCATCTTGGGAATGCAAGACTTGTATGCAAGCAAGATCTTCAGTTCTTCAGAGTCAGACTGGAAAGTACTTTCTTTAAAGAAAAGAAAGTGAGGTGGGGAGGGTATGGAAATAGCATCCTTAAAATACAGGACGCTGAAACAATTTCCAAGTGTACACTGTTTACAGGTTTCAACATATTGGTATTTCCCTTCCAACATTAATACAAATCAAATATACACCATCAGATTATATAACTATAAAACCTATAGTTACTCTAATTAAGGTTTTGTCTGTTTGTTTTTTAAACCCAAGCACAGCACAGCAGATTCTGATGGCTCTCAATACCTGGTAGTCAGTCTTCTAAAAAACCCAGAGTTTTGAATACCACTGGCCACAATTACTGTGTCAGAACCATTATGATCTGTCAATATGCACTTAGCAACCATTTTATACATGGATAACTGACCATAACTTCTTGGAATGGTATCATTTAGGCTGTTGCACATACACAGTAAATCTACATTTAAAGAAGTCTTCTGAAGTGTGTTTTGTTTTACATTTATGTACAAATCTATGAAAAAACTGGGTTTTCCCTAGGTCACTAGTCAGTTAGTACATCTCCTCAGAAACAGTTTGGAACTGGACTAAAGCTTAAACACATAAGACACTGCACACCATACAGGCACCCCCTTACTGAAACAGGTGTAACAGGCCATAAAAAGGTACAACTCCCTAGTCTGGGAAGCATGAGGGTGAGGATTAATGAATGGTTCCAAATACGTTCACAAATCAGAAAGCGTGAACCAACTGCACACATAAAGGGAACTGCAGAAGGCCAAGGTATTTAGATTCTTTCGTACAAATAAAAATATGCCAAAGTCAACACTGTTTCAAAAAAACACTGCCATCCTCCAGTACCAGCCTAGATGGTGCAGGGCCTTACATTTTTCAAATGAATTTGGGAAGCTGTAGTAATATCTTAAATCAGAGTCATTTTATATAAAATTAAGAAAAATCAAAGTATGTCAGAATGAATCCAAAGATACAGCAAAAGGTTTCTTTCTCAGACTGTGTCTAATTTATCTCAACCAAGCTTTAATGCTTAGGCATCTTTGCAGGGGGCTAGGTGCATAGAAAATTCATAACTTAACCTAAAAGATTTTGTTGAAGAAACCAACAGAAACTTATTGACTGACCTCCTGCACTGCTTTTGGGTGGATTTCAATATTCGTTTCTGGGGCATTAATGAAGGACCACACAACTTCAATGTCTTCCCCTTTCTCTTTCATGCAGAGTTCCAGCTGTTGAAATGACATAGGTTATTTTTATTTTTTAAAAGTCTTACAAATAGTTTGCCTTCCACAGAAAAGCACTAGATCAACCTCATCACTGATGTAAGCAGCTACAGTTCCACAGCGGTCAGTGATGCCAACTTTACATTTAACTCTTAAGTTATAGTATTCTGAGAAAATAGAAAGCGTTGTTTCAGCTTTTAGTGTGTAATCTGGTTATGGATCAAAAATATAAGATTTATAGACCAAAATGTTTAGTATCAGTCTACAAATATATAAATACAATGTTCTTTACCTACATCGCTCTCCCTGGAAGTTTATACAACTAGTTGGGACACATGAATCTTTTTAAGATAAGAATATAAATGTCTTTGTGACAATGAGATTCAAATTCACTATCTTGCTGGACCACACTATGACAAGTAAAATAAATGAAAAAAAGAGGTCCAATTACTTTCAAATCTTAGAGAGGAGGAGAGAGGGGGGAAAGACAAAGATTTAAAACAAAGCACTTTACCTGCAAATGAAGTGGAGACAGTTTCACACTGTACAACTGACATTCTGTGGTAGCGTGTGAACTCTGAGACACGCTGACAAAAAATTGAATAGAATCTCCCACTACATCACAAGAAATCACCTGGGGAAAAAAAGAAAAAGAAATATGGCCTTCTTCAGATGGTTTCTTGAAAGTAAGGGTAAAATGGTTTAAAAATAGTCTACTCTGTGTAGGCAGAGCAATTAAAGAGTTCAGGAATTCCTAACCTTGGTACATAGCACTTAGAAAAGCCTTCATTTTAGCAAATTCATTTAATAAGCCCTAATTAATTGAGAAATACCCCTCATTGTATATGAAGGCAGACTTAAGTGCCTGAATGTCACATCTACACTCTTAGCATGAGCACGAGCATGCATGTGCTTCTTGCAGTGTTTCAAACCCCTTTGAGATGCCGCAAGATACATGTGCGGGAACAAAAAACCATTCCCCGTGCTGCAAATATGCAGCGTGGGGGAAAAATTTGACACCTGGATATCCAGGTATCTAAACATAACAAAAAAGCGGAGCAGGGCACAGTCCCAGACCGTGCACTGAGGCAACCAAAAGCTTGGTCCTCCACAGAGTGCCAGAGTGTCTCTATGGCTGCCTCTTTCCCCAGTACTGCTGCAGTGACCTGGACCTGGGCCCTGTGCCAGGTAAGTAGGGGGTGGAGAGGGGGCTGGAGGAGGGGATAGGGGAGTATTGAGGGGCCCTGCCTGGCCCCAGCCCCCAGCCCCCCACTTCCCCAACTCCCCCATCTCTCCCCTGGCTTCTCCCTCCTTCCCCCAGCTCCCCACTTGCTTTCCTGCCCGGCCCCACCCCCCCGCACAGCCCACACTCACCTGCATTCCCCCACATCTCTCCACACCCACCCCCACACACATACCCTGTCCCACCCCACTTCTGCAAACTCCACATCCCCCCCATAACATACCCATTGTATGACACAAAATCCAAAAGCAAACATCAAAACATATAGATATTTAGAATTTATTTTATTACGTTGACAGGGACACTGGTAGGCTTCCAAACTGCTTTAATATTGAAAATACAGCAATAAAACATTGCCCAACTGATATTTCTCTCCCTCATTATATATGTAAATATATATATATAGTGGTCTTTTATTCTACTTGTGGAAGAGCATGGATTTGGGGGAATTTAAAAAGTGATTTTGGGGATGCTGCTTCAGCAGTCCATCTGGCACAAGGGGTAGTGTCCCCAGATACCAAGTGGCTGGGCCTCAGAAGCTCCTCAGGGCATGAAGCCTTAAGCTGCTGGCCAGGGCAGTTTTTTATACTGCTGGGGCCAGTACAGGTGCTGGCCCCAGCCTCTAGCTCAGGAGTGGGAGGCCATTCTATCCGGCCCATGGGGCCCCTAAAAAAATGTAGAAAATTAATATTTCTCTGCCCTTGGTTCCTGTCAAATATGCAGTAGGATCCAGGGGAAGCCCTGCAGGCTCCAACAACAGCGGGTCCGCCTGGCCCCGCCCCCCAGCCGGAAGCCCCAGCCCTGGCTTCTGGGCTGGGAGCACATGGCTGCCCCAGCACGGGAAGCTCAAGTAAGCGGGGGGGACCTTGGGCAAGGAAGGAGCGGGCTGTCTGGAGCAGGTACAGCCAGCCCCAGGCAAGCTGCAAGCAGCTGCAGCGTGGGGTGCCAGGCATGGGGCAGGGAGGGGCAGCTTTCTCCACCCCGCCCCCCCACCCATGCGCTCAGCACCACTTTGTAACCTGGCACCACTGCCAGGCTGGCAGTGGGGCAGGTTACAAGCTGGTGCTGAGCATGGGGAAAAGTGGCCCCTTGCCCACCCCATGGCCAGCACCCTGCGCTGCAGCCACTTGCAGCCCACATGAGGATGCTTGTGCCTGCACCAGACAGCCCCGCATGGGCTGCGAGTGCCTGCAGCGCGGGGCGCTGGCCATGGGGCAGGCGAGAGGCCACTTTTCCCCATGCTCAGAATCAGCTTCTTCCCTGCTGGAGAGCTGTGTGCTGCCCCCCACCTGTACCGTGGGGCTGGGGGGCACTGGGTGTGAGCGTGCAGGGAGCCAGTGGGAGCACAGGGCCTGCAGCGGTGTCCCGGGGCCAGTGCCGGTGGGGACCAGAGAAGGGTGGCAGGAGTGCGGGGTCCCAGCCAGCAGGGGCTCTATGGAGCCGGGCCAACTCCCTCCTCCCTGCTGGTGCAGCCCAGCCCGGCTCCACAGACCCCTGCTGGCCTGTGCCCTGCTCTGGGCCCCACCAGAGCTGACCCTGGGACACTGGTCCCAAGACATTGGGATTTTGGTCCCAAGATGGTGACCAGGGGTGGGGCACCTGTCAAGGGGCGGGGCTACCCATGCGGCCCTTGACAGCCTGCCAAAACTGGGTAAGTGGCCCTCCGCTCAAAATAATTGCCCACCCCTGCTCTAGCTCCCCCTGGCAGCAGATCCAGGAGGAGCTGGGCAGGGTTATTTTGCTCCAAGTGGCACAATTTGTCCCACAGCGAAGTGTATGTCTGGGCATTTGCACTGAGGCAAAAAGCCTCAGCTCAAATTTGTGCCACTTCTATTTGAGCTGCTGAAAGCGCATGTACCTGCATGTGCGGACATGCCCTTAAACTGCAAAAGATTAAGAATTTGAGATTGAAATTTTAAATCAGTGTGTCCTCTGAAAGCTTGGGGTGAGAGGGTAAGGGGAGCTCATTTCCTGAGCATTGAATTCTCATTTCTTACTTCCATTATTTTCACATAACTGATTATTTGTACAAGGTAATACACATAATTCTATAATAAAAAACACAGTTTAAAATGAAGACTCCAAAACCCCAATCTGGTGCTCAGTTTCTTTTTCTCTTTCAGCTTCAGCCCACAGCACCTTTCTTTCCTTTGATTTGAAAACCTGTTGGTATTATTATTCTTAAAGTCTAATAATATTAAGACACCCCTTTCAAAATCTAAGAACTTTTTTTTAATTAAAAAGGTCCTCCCTTCTTTAGGGTACTTTATCTGTATGTGAACACACACACATAACCCAGCCAAGCCCATTTAATCTTGAGCCAACAGAGTAACACCTACCCCAGTGCCTGCTCCATCTTTTCCTTTTACCTTGTCTCAAAGAGAACTATACCATAATAGCCAATATTTGTACAACTAGTTTAGAAACACAAAATATAGCATGCTAATGTGGTTATTTCCCAGTGACAATCCGCTAGCAATCCTATCCCCTGCTACCAGTTGAAAGAGTGAAAGAGAGTAACAAAATAAGTTAATTACAAGCTCCATCAGAAAAAAAGAGAGACACTCCAGGTTTGCTAGTGGAAAGTGATATAATATCCTTGCTCACCAAGGGGCACCTTATTTCAGAAGTATTCCAGTTGAAGTCAATGGATGACTCATGAAAGTAAAGCACCCCTGAGCAACATAACATGTAAAGCATTCTGGCATAAAATTAGCCAAATGTGTTTTCATTTAAGAGAAAGTAAGAAATAAAGGAAAATTAAAGCCCAAATGCCCCCTCATTTGTTTTTTGGGTTTTTTTGAGCTGTTTCTTTCAGATGCCTAGCAGAAATTTCTCCTTATTTTAAATAGACCATTCTAATTCTACTCACTTTTAAACAGACCAAGTCCTGCTCCCTGCCATCCTGTGAGTTCATAAATAGGCAGTAGGGCTGTGTGAAGCTTCGGTCCCTGATTTGATTCAGCAGAGATTTGGCCCATTTCAGTGGCCGAATCTCCGAATCAAATCAGAGGGACCGAAGCTTCACACAGCCCTACTGCCTATTTATGAACTTACAGGATGGCAGGGAGCAGGACTTGGCTAAGCAAAATCTTTGATGGATAGGTAGAAGGTGGCTGCTTGCATAAAGAATCCATATTTTGCTAACAAAACTGAACAAAAAGTTTGTGCATCTCAATGTTAGCGACATACAAAAATTCCCTTTCTTTAACTCCCCAACTCATTCACTGGTCCTGAAGTAAGAAGCACATAAAAATATACACTTTCTGTAATAGTGAAAGGAAACTCTTAATGATAGTTGTAAGTCTAACAATTTGAGCGGTTATTTATGAAATTTTTTCCATGTAAAACAAGTCCAAAATTTCAGAAACTTACAATTATTTTACTTTCCTTCTCCACTCACTAGCTGGTTTCCACTAGCTACCTCAGCTTCTCTTTCCTTCCTTGTACCTCCCAAGAGAGCTACAACATTGCAGTTATTTTTTCTCCCTGCACAATTGGCAACACGCAGTTAACTGCAAATGCAATTAAAAGTATTTGTTTCCTTTCACATTTCCTATGTTGGTTTCCCTCAAATTACATTTTATGTACACGTACTGTAAAAAAAATCACCCATTTCACATGTTAATTTAAACATTTTCTTACCACTCAAGATCCTAATACTGCCTAAATAAGTGGGTGCCTTCCCATAATTTTAGTAGGAGGAGAGTTTTTAAGAATGATTTCAGGGTGAGTAACTTGACTTAGCGTATTACAAGCACTAGTTGATTTCTTTGAAAGTGCCACCATATAGCAGACTTTCAAGCCCACATTCACCCTTGATTAAGCTGTCTAACAGTCTAAGCAGGGCTGCCTAACTCGTGGCTCATGGGCTGCATGTGGACCCAGAAGGGCTTGCATGGAACCCATGGCTCTTGCCCAGCTGCCACTCCTTCCCCCTACCCCACCATGGCTCCTGCTACAGCATCCAGATTCATCAGACTCCCCCTCCCTCCTCCAGCTTGTATTTCCTGACCTGCTCCTGGTAGCCAGCGCAGCACAGCAACAGGGGTGGGGTGCCCAAACTGCATATGGGCAGGGCTGCAGCAGGGTTGCCCATGCTGTGTGCGCAGTGGGAAAGGGGGTTGAGCTATTCACTCAGCATGCAACAATGGAAGAAGCAGGGCTGCCTGCATTACAAGTGGCACATGTGGCCCTGAGGGGAAAGGATGCTACACTGCCAAAGCCAAGCTGCTATTGCTGTGTGCACTGTGGGCAGTGCGGGGTGTCACAACCCAATGATTTTAGTGCCTCGGCACGATGGAATTTTCCCGCCACATGAGAGTCTCTGTGCACAGCAAAAGTTTTCTGCTGCAACAGAAACCCCGGGTGAAAGAGAGTCCCCGCCATTC